TGCTCTGCAGGGCAAAGCTCTCAGTTTTATCCCAGCCCTCCCTACAACAGGCTGTGCTGTCCCAAAACCAAACACCTGTGAGCAACAAACACATGCATCTCCCCTAGGGGGTGGGAAAAAGTCCTTAAGAGCCACAGAATCATTTGGGTTTGGAAAAGACCTTGAAGATCATCAAGTCCAACCATTAATCCAGCACTAATCCACGTGCGTGCACAGAAGTGCATGTGTGTGCATAGAACTGCCCAAATCTGTAAGGGAGACACCAGAGGTCATTTTTGTTATTATCAGCCACAAAGAGATGGCTCATGAACCACCCCAAAACCAACCCAACCACCAGAAGGACTATAATTTGCCCATTATTTCAGCCTGACCACCCTCCTGAAACACCACCAAATGAGTGTCTCAAGTGATCCACGCTCCAGTTTGGCTTTTTGGATAAATACAGAATCATTCTGGTTGGAAAAGACGTTTAAAATCATCGAGTCCAACCACAACCTAACTCTACAAACCATAACCTAACTCTACAAACCACAACCTACCTCTACCAAGTCCAGCACTTAACCCGTGTCCCTCAGCACCACATCTACACGGCTTTCAAACACCTCCAGGGATGGTGATTCAACCATAAACCCAACTTAAAAATCAAGCCAGAGGCTTGATTTTTTTTCTTGCCCCCGCTCCACGGGGTCTCTTTGTCCCATGGGAACAATAATTCAGCAGATGTGCTGGAGAGGAGTCAGAAAGTCCCAGCCTGGAGTGAGCTCTGACTCACAGGGTTTCCCTAGTAACCTGAAACAGTGAGAGAACACAGTGTGCCTTTGCATCCTGACTCAAACCATGGGCAATATTTCCTACAAAAAACCCAGCAAACCAGTTGATGACACCAGGGCTTGAGTCTCCTCTGAGCAGGGCCAGTCCCAGCCTTGAGAACATCAGAGGCAAGCGGTGGGAAGCTGTGGCTGCCCCATCCCTGGCAGTGCTGAAGGGCAGGTTGGATGGGGCTTGGAGCAACCTGGGCTGGTGGGAGGCGTCCCTGCCCATGCAGGGGGGTTGGAACTGGGTGATCTTTGAGGTCCCTTCCAACCTAAACTAGTCTGTGATCCGTTGTTCTGTGCTCAGACGCACCTTCTCCCGCAAGCAATGCAAAAGAGTTTGGTGAGCCAAACTGCTGATTCTTGGTGCTGAGGCTGGCAAGCAACTCAAATCCAAGAAGGTCAAGCCCCCACCAAGCTTACCCTCAGCAGACCACAAGGGAAAAAGCAGAAAGTAGGAAGTATATTGATGTGAGGACACGTTCCCTGAGCCTGCGATCCACCTAGAGCCACTCGCCTCAACCTGCCCCCAAATCCTGGCGCATCCCCAGAGCCAAGGAGGGAAGAACGGGCTGGGAATGTGGGCCAGGAGCCCACAAGAGGCTGGCAGCCTGCAGGGAAGCTCTTTGGTGCACAAAAGGAGCAGTCATCTTCCCAGCAGCTCCCCAGGATGGACACGGCGCCTTCCGCCTGAGGAAAAGCTTGGCAGCCACATTTCTGGTGACAAAAACAGAGGTTGTGGTTTTTTCTTTGTTGTTGGTTTGGGTTGTTTTTTTTAAAAGAAGAAAAGTTCCCCAGGACAAATAATTTCTCACTGTGCTTCAGCTGACACTGAGCTCCTTATAAAAGGGGTTGTGTGGGGAGAGCCCCAACACCTGAACTACAGCAGCATGAAGTTCAGCTGAACCCCGAGAAGAAGAGAGTGTCCCACCACCCCTTCAGCACCCAACAGGGACCTCAGGAAAGGGGAAAGGAAAGTTTCTAAAGAACTTCCAAGCTGGCTGCCCTTGGGATCTATCTTGAGAGGAAAACTGGCTCCCACCTCCCCCAGGACATACTCCAGCCCAGCTCATTAAGTCCTCTCCTCCTCAGAGGGCCGGCCAAGCAGCTCCTCCTTCCCCTCACCTCCAACTAATGGGGTTAGTGTTCAACTGGGTGGTCCCAGCACCCTCCTCTCTCTCCCCTCTGCCATCCAGGCCTGAAAGCTTT